TGCCTTTTAAGGCACCGTAATCCTCTCTAAAAAACGCCCTAACTACTGTAGTTCTGCTGAAAAATGGCCCAGATACCGTACCCCTCCCTAAAATATGTCTGAACTACCATAATCCTCTCTAAACAAAGCCCTAATTGCCTTATCCGTTTCTAAATAGCGCCCAATTGCCTGTAAATATTACTTTAGCTACCGTACACCTTTCTAAACCCTGACCCAACGACCGTACCTCAGTCAAATCGGCGATGAGCCGAGGGAAGGCGATGCCAGCGGTGAGAAGAGAGATGACAGAGACGAGGGCAGCCCCTCCGACAAGGACACGCTCCATGACTGTCGAATGGATGGAGTATCGCCACGGAACGCGAGGTCCACTTTTATACCCCCAGCTCGCAGCTTATCTGCCAGGTCTTAAACGGGGTCAACCCAAGGCCATACCCCATCCCGTCTTGAGCTGAAAAAATTTTTGGAAAAAACAAGACACTCCCCTGGACACCCACGCACAGCCAAGGTCAATGCCAATCTGGGGGGAATGCAGGAAGTGAACAACTGCAGAGTTGGGATGGGATAAAGGGGTTGAAAGGGGAAATTGAGGAGGGCTAGCAGAGACTATTGGGGAGAGCTAGCAGAGAACATTGAGGAGAACTAGCAGAGACCATTGAGGAGAGCTAGCAGAGACCATTGACGGAGGCTAGCAGAGAACATTGAGGAGAGCTAGTAGTGACCATTGAGGAGAGCTAGCAGAGACCATTGAGGAAAGCTAGCAGAGAACGTTGAGGGGGGCTGGTAAAGAACATTGAGGAGAGCTAGACGAGACCATTGGCGATAAAACGAGATTCAGAATCTAAGAAATTTGCATAAATCTTCGAAGGAGCTCCCGAGCCGAATCCCCATCATTTCTACTTTTTCTCTAGACTCTAAGGTTCGTCGAAGTTTTATCCAAAATTTTGATATTTCCTTTGCAGATCTCAATGATGATTTTCCGTCTGTTCTTACTGCTCAGCGCCGGGGTATTGCTGTTGACTGGAGGGGATCAAGGTGAGAATTTCGATTTTTTCACTTCGATTCTTCGGATCTTTTGGACTACTGTAATTGGGTCACTTTTTAGGCAGCTGCCATGCCGGTGACATCCCATGCGAGGGGAAGGGCGGCCAACTGGTGTGTTTGAGCGGTGCCAACGCCCAGAAGGACACCAAGACGTGCGTGGCGGCAGGTACGGTAGCTGGGCGCAGATTAGAATTACGCGCTGGTTGGGATGGGTAAGCTAGCGGAGACCATTGAGGAATCGAATTTCCAGATTGCGCGAGTGGCCAAGTGCCGATCAGCTTGAATGGGATTGATACTTGTGTCCCTGTTGATCTACTCGGCAACATTGAAGGAAATCACGCGACACCCGCGGTTTGGAGATTTGCCAGTGGGTCTCGTAGCGACAATAGCATAAACCTATACATTTAGATTGCTCGATCATGAACATCAACTGCGGCAAGAGGGGGCTGGAAGTGTGCGTGTCGAACACGAAGTTGCATGGATACGACGGTCAAACGCAGAGCTGTATATGGAAGAAAAGTGAGAGAGAGAGAGAGAGAGAGCGAGAGAGACGAGAGAGCTAACCCTTTTTTTAGAATGCACCGACAAGCCCGACCATCACCCGTGCAAAGCGATCAACACCAGCCATCCGGACATCTGCACGCCGTACATGACGATCAAATCGATTCGAGACGACGGCCTTTGTACACTGTATTCAAAGGCCGAGCAGCAGGCATGGGAGCAAGAGGGGGAAAAGAAGAATGGAACCACGGAAAAAGGTAATCTTTAGACTATCTCTCTCTCCTTTTCTCTCTCTCTCTCTCTCCCTCGCTCCCTACGGCCCCTTTTTTTTAGCTCTCCCCACTGAAGACAAAGGCCACATCCTCCTCATCATCATCATCGTCGTGTGCGGCTTGGTCGGCTGTCTGGTGCTGATCATCGTCGTCACACGTATGGGCGAATATTGTCGAGGCAACTGAAACGATTTAGTCATCTACTGCATGACGCACCGAAGCAAGAAGAAGAAGAACAAGTCGACCTCCTCGAACAAGCCTGACAAGAAGACAGCCAAAAAGTCTACGAAGTCGTCCAAGTCATCCAAGTCGAGTCACACCGGAAGTAGGCAGTTCTTCCTGGCGGTTTTAAACGGGTTGTGATAGATTTCGGCGCTTAAAGGAACCTGGACTTTCCAACCTAATTCCTTCCAGGTGAGAATCCGAAGGTGTCGAAGAAGCCGAAGCCCCCACCCGTCAACCCGAACGAGGCACACGACAACATGTTCCAACAGACAAAGGTATCAACTAGCCAACTAGAAGTCATCATTAGGGATTCTCTCTAGCATTAATAACATCCCGTAAATTAACCTTTTACCTCCCATTAATGCGCCTGTTGCAGCAATTCCCCGAGGAAGACGACAATGGCGGCGGCGATCCGATGATGCGCGTCTAGAGCAACGACGACTCCGAGCCGTTCAGCCACCTCCCTTTTGCTCCCACTATCCATTACTGTGCAATAAATTTGGCTACAATACTGTACTATTTACACAATACAAAATACACCAAATGACATACCGGAACTGTGCCGTCTGGCTTTTAAAGAGGAGCACAAGCGAGGTTTTGGCTTTCAATTAAGAAGCCAGGCGGTTAAGCAGGCAAGCGCGTCATTAAAGATACACTAAAATCTCGTTCAAAAAACCGCGTCGCCGTCGTGAATTTTCTCCCTTCGCCGCTGCTTGGCCCGACCGTTCATAGCCCATCGCCCCCTCCCCTCTCCCGTCCCTCCCATGGCCTAGTGGTCCAAAGCACTTGCCGTAGGCGAGTGGCCCGGGTTCGGTTTTGCTCCGCGGCGAGCGCCTACCGTAACCCTGTTTGCTATCCCGCGGACGGTTACCGTCCGGCAACCGAGCCAACGAGACTTTAGTGTACCTTTAAGAAGTCGGGTGCGTCAATAAGCCAGGGGCGTCGGGAAACAGCCAGATTGCCGACAGCCAGATACTAGCAGTATCGAAAAAGGCGGGCCTTGGCGCCGCAGGCCGGAGAATGAGCCTTGAGTCAGGCCCTTGCGCCGCAGTCTTCAAAAAAGTAAAAGGACTTTATGGGTCCAGGATAGGGTGTGTCGTTTGCAAATACAAATCCACTTTGAATAAATAAATCCAAATAACGGATATTCAAATAATCCAGAACCGTTATTTGAATAACCGTTCTCCCGGAGTGTCGATTCAAATATATTTGAACATGTTCAAATAAAGCCGAGCTTTGTCAAATCGCTCTCCTTTTGACAAAACCTAGTCAAATCTTTGATTCAAATAAGAAATGTCAAATTTCAAGACCAGTTAGGCTAAAATATCAACCGCCAAATTTCGCATAGCCCTGCAACGCCATTTTTGCAGAATTCCGGCATCAAAAATATCGACAACAAAAATGCCGACACAAAAAATTTTCGATGTAGATGTTAGCATTGCATTTCGAAACAAAACCGCCCGTCGGCATTTTCGCGTTTCGGCATTTAGCACGTCGGCATTTTCAAGTAGGCATTATGACAGTTGTTATATTGCGCTTGGCGAGCCGATAGGCACTTTGGTTGTCTGCCGCTGATTCCGATCACCGAAAAACTGGAAACCCTAACAATCTCGAAATACCGAAAAATATCGTCATTTTTCACGATTCGGCATTATAGCATCTAGGAAATGGTAGGCGGTGCTATTCCAAGTTCAACAAAGGCTCTTCTTGAATCCATGGGCTCGATTTTTCAAATTTCGTTGAGCTTGTCCAGCTCGGCTTTATTTGAATATGTTCAAATATATTTGAATCGGAGCGGAGGTGGTTCCGTTATTTGACCGATTATTTGAATAATTTCCGGGAAGCCTTCAAATAATTTATTTGAGCGGGCTCGAATATATTCAAATAATTATTCAAACACGACACACTCTAGTCCAGGACGGGGTCCAGTGGAACGGCCGCGAAGCGGTCTTTTTCCACTGGGCTTATATAGGACGCAAAACGGGTCTCGGGCCGGCGTTTGTAGAGCGTTCGCCCGAAAGTTATCCACGGCTGTTGCGGGGGCCGTGGGTCTCCAGCGTTCAGCAGGGTCGGGTCCTACAGCGGCCGGCGTGAGCTGCGCGCGTCCGCCGATGTTGTACAGCAGCCGGCGTGGGCGGCGGGGTAGCGGTAGTGGGCGGGATCGCATGTCTCGGGCTCTTGGGGAAGGAGCACGAGCGTGCCCTGATGTCTTTGCGGGGAGGAACAACGGGGGTTTTTCGGTCGTCCGGCAGAAAGATATTTGGTGAAAGAAAAGAATTTGGTGTATTGTGTATTGTGTAGACAGTAAAGTATCGTAGCGAAATTTATTACACGGTTACATGGATATCATTAATGGATCATGGGAACACAAGGAAAGTCGCTGAGCTGCTCGAAGTCGTCGCTGCTCGGAGTCGTCGCTGCTCTAGACGCGCATCATCGGATCGCCGCCACCATTGTCGTCTTCCTCGGGGAATTGCTGCAAAAGGCGCATTAATGGAAGGTAAACGACCCAATTATGACATGAATTTCCGGTTGGAAAGAATCCCTAGTTGTTAGAACTGCTAGTTGGCTAGTTGATACCTTTGTCTGTTGGAACATGTTGTCGTGCGCCTCGTTCGGGTTGACGGGTGGGGGCTTCGGCTTCTTCGACACCTTCGGATTCTCACCTGGAAGGAATTCTTATACGGAGCCCGACTTCCAGGTTCCTCTAAGTTCCGAAATCCAAAACCTACTTCCGGTGTGACTCGACTTGGACGACTTGGACGATTTGGAAGACTTTCTGGATGCCTTGTTGTCCGGCTTTTTCGACGAGGTCGACTTGTTCTTCTTTTTCTTGCTGCAGCACGTCATGCAGCAGATGACTAAATAGTTTCAGGTTACACGTCAATATTCGCCTATACGTGTGACAACGATGATCAGCACCAGACAGCCGACAGAGAGAGAGAGAGACAGACAGTGAGAGAGAGAGCGAGAGAAATTCAGAAGATCCAACCTTTTTCCGTGGTTACATTCTTCTTTTTTCCCTCTTGCTCCCATGCCTGCTGCTCGGCCTTTGTATACAGTGTACACAGTCCGTCGTCTCGGATCGATTTGATCGTCGTGTACGGCGTGCAGATGTCCGGATGGCTGGTGTTGATCGCTTTGCACGGGTGATGGTCGGGCTTGTCGGTGCATTCTAAAAAAGCGTTTGCTCTCTCTCTCTCTCTCTAGTTCTCACTTTTCTCGATATACAGCTCTGCTACGTCTGCTGACCCTACGGCAGGGGTTGTTTTTGCCTGCACAAACCCTTTAAACTGCACCCACTTCGGTTCTGAGTAGATTCGGATGACTTGTATGACTTGCTGCCCATCTTCTCACCAATCTTCATCGACGAGACCGAATTATTCGCCTTGTTGGGTTGTCCTTTGTCCGTCTTCTTCGACTCGTCGGACTTCATCGACTTTTTGTTCGTCTTCTTCGAGGAGATCGACTTGACGCGTGATTCTTTGTCCTTCTTCTTCTTCGATGAGGTCGACTTGTTGGACTTGCTGGTGTTGTGGGGGGATTCCTTGTCCGCGTTCTTCGAGGAGGTCGACTTGATGGGCGATTTGTTGTCCTTCTTCTTCGTGGCCGTGGACTTGTCGGACTTGCAGGTGTTGAAGATGGTGGGGATAGTGCCGACGTTGAGGCTACCTAAAAAGAGCGGATTAGCGGATGGTGACAGGAGCATGAGCTTCTACGGGAACCGACTTTTTGCGGCGGCCGGCTCAGCCGAGAGGGCTTCTTCATTGGAGGCAGCGGGTGGCGAGGGCGGAACTTCGGCGCGAGCGGGTGGTTCGGCGACGCAGTCAGCATCCGGTCGGCCGGCCTCTCCTTCAGCATCCCTTCCGCCCATAACTCCGGGGTCCACGATGCCCCAACTTGTCGCGCCGGCGATCAACGACTCGGGGCCGAGCACCTAAATGTCGGATGAATCAAAATGACTCGAGAAGGTCTGGTATCCGACGCTCTAAACTCGGCACAAGCAAATTCTTACCTTGTCCTTCTTCTTCGAGGAGGTCGACTTGATGGGTGATTTTTTGTCCGTCTTCTTCGAGGAAGTCGACTTGTTGGACTTGTTGCCGTTGTGGGGGGATTCCTTGTCCATCTTCTTCGAGGAGGTCGACTTGTTCGACTCGTCGGACTTGTTGGTGATGGTGGAGATAGTTCCGACGTTGAGGCTAACTAAAAAGCGTATTTAGCGGATGGTGAGACAGGCGCATGAGCTTCTACGGGAACCTACTTTTCGCGGCGGTCGGCTCAGCCGAGAGGGCTTCTTCATTGGAGGCAGCTGGTGGGGCGGTCAACAACAGGGCGGCGGCCACCTGAATGTCGGATGAACGAAACGTCATTTTCGACGAAAAAGAAAAAATATGCGCTTTTCACTATCTAAAGCGGGGTAAGATAGTATAAAAATTTTGCACTTCGCCATAGGATCGTACGTTTTTGACTGGAGAAACATTGGGGCCCCCCGCTAACAGCACAGTACCGAGGTTTTGTTATTGGGGCTGGGAAAGACGGTAAATGATGTTCCAACCATTTGGTCACAGGCACACATCGTCCGGTGCAGGGACTCCTCGACCTCAGATGTGCTGATTTCAGTGTCGGCGTCGTCGGGCATCCTGTAGTACGGTCCGAAGTCAAAGTCCCGCCTCTTGTAATACGGCTCGAAATCGAGTGCCGAAGGCACCTGAAATGAATACGAGATTAACCGTATGGCCAGGGGTTTTTGAACTTTTCCATGCCATTTTACGCCCCTTTCTATGGTAAATAGAAAGTTTCAAAAAAATTAGTTAAAACTTCGAAAGTCCCAGATAAATAATACATACCTGCGCCAGGCGGGGAACCGTCCTGGGCTTTTTCCCATAATTAGCCCTTTCGAAATCTCTGACGAGCTGCTCCTTTGTCTCCACCTGCCCTAACGTCTGCGCCATAGCCGCCGAGGCCTGAAACCTTTTGCATTATCGGGGGGATACGAACATTTCCTATCAGCCACGTAAGTGCTAATCTTACGCTTTGGCTCAGGCTTTGGCTAGGCTTAGGTGGCTTAATCGTAGCTTAGGCTTAGGCCACGAGCGGACCGAAACCCACCACTTCCTCGTAGCGCTCGTATGAGGCCAACGTCTCTTTCCGGGCCTCTTGCCATCGTTCTTTCGCGTCGTCGACGCGCGCCCGCAGCGTCCTCTTGACCAACTGCAAAAGAGGTTCAAAGCTGTTTTCTACTTGAGATATCGTGAACTTTTAGTGAAAACACTATGAACTAGTTACTATAAGTTATTAAGCATTTCTGGCCATACAGCAAAAATCGCGAAAGTATCAGGATTGAATTTAGTCAATCGATAAAAGCTACCTTGGCCAGGTCCTTGACGGTGGCATCCTCGTACTGCTCCCGGGCGTTACGTTCGGCATCCCGCATTGCCATCTGGAACCATTTGGGCAGCGCGGGCACATCATGTTCAGCGGATGTGAGCGCCTGCAAAATGTCGCTGGTAAATTATCAAAAAGGTTTTATAAAGTGCCACAATGCGAAACTTTTGACCCTTTTTTGTAATTTTTCATATATTTTTTGATCAAAGTCAGAAAATTCCCCCTGTAACCCCCCTTCCTCGCCCCCCCCCCGTTAAGCGAAAAGAACCCCACGTCGATGGTCGATGCCGGGCACGTCGCGTACTTCCCGTTCCTCAGCCGTTCCTTGTCCTGCTCCTTCCAGTCGAGGAGCACCGCATCGGCCGCCTCCTTCGTCACAAGCCTGAGGAATTTATCCACACAGAGGAGATGGGCTGCCTGCAAAACCACGTGAGAATCGTCGTCCGGGGCGCGGGGTGTATAATGCAATACCTCCGTCGCCAGATCCGACGTTGCAGCGCTTTCCTCGGCAGAGCACTTCCCGAAATCCAGGTAGGCGGCTTCAACCCGTCTCATCAGTTCACTTTCGTTCTAAAATACGGTACTTCAGCAACAACCCTTGACAAAGATTTGACGATGAGAAAGAGCATAGCGTCACGTACCGTCAGTTCCGAAGTTGTCATCGTTTAGGGTAATTAGGGTTGTTGGGTTGGGTGTCAGTATATGAGCCTCAGCCTAAGCGCACGGCTTATATACCGGCACTCCCATGCTAATCGCCTCATTGTCGGATTCTAATTGATTATATGCAAATTCTGATTTTATGCGGATCAGAGCGCAAAGGAGAAGGCAGTCTAGCAGAGATTGTTGAGGAAGAGGAGAGGGCAGGCTAGCAGAGATTGTTGAGGAAGAGGAGAGGGCAGGCTAGCAGAGATTGTTGAGGAAGAGGAGAGGGCAGGCTGGCAGAGATTGTTGAGGAAGAGGAGAGGGCAGGCTGGCAGAGATTGTTGAGGCAGAGGGTATGTTTCTACATCGACGTATTTGCTATGCAGACTCGGGTAAATTGTATTGTGTGGACAGTAAATATTGTAGCGCGATTTATTACACAGTAACATGGATAGCATCAATGGATGGTGGGAGCACAAGTAACGTGGCTGAACGGCTCGGAGTCGTCGCTACTCTAGACGCGCATCATCGGATCGGCGCCGCCGTTGTCGTCTTCCTCGGGGAATTGCTGCAAAAAGGACGCATTAATGGGAGGTGAACGATTCATTTACGGGATGTTATTAATGCCAGAGAGAATCCCTAATGATGACTGCTAGTTGGCTAGTTGATACCTTTGTCTGTTGGAACATGCTGTCGTGCGCCTAGTTCGGCTGACGGGCGGGGGCTTGGACTTCTTCTGACACCTCGGATTCTCAACAGGAAGCGAATTCCGGCTGGGGAGACAGACTTCCAGGCTCCTTTAAGATCCGAAATCTATCACAACCCCTTTAAAAACTGCTACGAAGCTCCACCTACTTCCGGTGTGACTTGATTTGGACGACGGGGACGATTTGGAAGACTTTCGGGATGCCTTTGCTGTCCGGCTTCTTCGAGGAGGTCGACTTGTTCTCTGGCTGCAGCATCGTCATGCAGCAGATGACTAAATAGTTTCAGATTGCGCGTCAATATTCACCCATACGTGTGACAACGATGATCAGCACCAGACAGCCGACCAAGCCGCACACGACGATGATGATGATGAGGAGGATGTGGCCTTTGCTTTCGGTCGGGGAGCTAAAAAGAGTGACAGTAGGGAGAGCGAGAGCGCGAGAAATAGAGAGAGAAGGAGAGAGAGAGAGAGATAGAGAGATAGAGAGAGAGAGATTCTGAAGATCCAACCTTTTTCCGTGGTTCCATTCTTCTTTCCTCTTGCTCCCATGCCTGCTGCTCGGCCTTTGAATACAATGTACACAGTCCGTCGTCTCGGATCGACTTGATCGTCGTACGGGCGTGCAGATGTCCGGATGGCTGGTGTTGATCGCTTTGCACGGGTGATGGCCGGGCTTGTCGGTGCATTCTAAAAAAGCGTTTGCTCTCTCTCTCTCTCGTCCCTCTCTCGCTTTCTTCCATATACAAGCTCTGCTACGCCTGCTGACTCTCCTACGGCAAGGGTTGTTTTGCCTGCACAAACCTCTTTTAAACCTGCCAGGAATCTGCACCCACTTCCGTTATGAGTAGATTTGGATGACTTGTACGACTTGCTGCCCATCTTCTCACCAACTTTCATCGACGAGGCCAACTTATTCTACACAGGGGTTAGGTTGTCCCTTGTCCGTCCTCTTCGACTCGTCGGACTTCATCGACTT